CTGCAGCCCCAGTTCACGACATTTTAGTATAAAATCCAACATATCAGACTTTGTCAGAGATAGAACAATAAAGCCCTTGACTTATTTACATTGTTGAAATTGGAACTCCAGTGTTTGCCAATACATTGGCCAGCTTATTATCAATTGAGTTATTGGTTTGATATAAAAAGATACATGTCCTTATTGCAAACCAAACTGTGACCACAGCTCTTTTACAAAAATAAAATCCTAAAACAGTTACCTTTTTTTTTTCTTTTTCTCTAAACCATTAAAATTTCTCTCTCCTTTACCATATTTTCTTCCTTTTTCAGACAAAGATCCTCCTGCACAGAAGGATGTGTCCAACCTGACGATTAACTTTGGCCCTCAGCATCCAGCAGCTCACGGTGTGCTGCGTCTTGTGTTGGAACTCAGCGGAGAGTCTGTCAAGAAGTGTGACCCACACATTGGCCTGCTTCATCGTGGCACTGAAAAGCTAATTGAGTACAAGACCTACCTGCAGGTACTGAGCCAATATCTTTGTTTCAACTGAGTTTGTGAATTCCTTTATAACTTATATCCATTGATGAAATTATCTGGTACGTATGCAAACGTATGTATGTGCTCTTCTTCTTTTAAAGGCAAAGAAACAGCAATTCTAATGTATTCAAACAACACAACTAATTGTTAAGCAGTTTGTTGCACAATGCTCTCTTGCATTGTTTTTAGCTCACCACACTGTGTAGTGCAGTGAATACTTTAATAACATATAAGTGGTGCAAGAGCAAGGGAATGCTTCACCAGTTCACTTGAAAATGACAAAATTAAACATTTGACGTCAACCAAATTGATTCCGGATACTTTACAAGATCTTCGTCATGTGTCATGTCTTGCTTAACTCTCGGTACTTCCTCTTCTTTTTCTGCTTTAGGCTCTGCCCTACTTTGACCGTCTGGACTATGTTTCCATGATGTGTAATGAGGAGGCCTACTCATTGGCTGTGGAGAAGCTGCTCAACATCCAAGCTCCACCCCGTGCACAGTGGATCAGAGGTACTGATCATACATTTGAAAAGGCCTGTCATTATTGTTTGGGCTACCAAATGTCAAAAAGTATAACAAAAAACGTCCTTTTCACAATGATTTTTTTTTTGTGTAGCATCCAATCCATGTCCAAAAGTATTCAATTTGCCACCAAGAAAACAAAGAAAAATAGTACATCCTCACATCTGAGCAGCTAAATCCAGTGAAATACTGTCAGTGTTGGACAAGAAAACATGTATAACTGCAAATCAGTGATTAATGTTTTTTTTGCTGTAAATGGTTGCTTGTGTTCTTTGTGTTTGTAGTGCTGTATGGAGAGATGACTCGCATCCTGAACCACATCATGGCGATTACAACACACGCCCTTGACATCGGTGCCATGACACCCTTCTTTTGGATGTTTGAGGAGAGAGAGAAGGTTTGGAGCACTTCAGTCCTCAAAGTTCAATCCTTTGTGATGCAGATTACTAGATGTACTCTTTTCATCTGGGCTTTTATTTCAGTCCTGCCTGCCTTCACAGCAGCAGTTTTAGGTTTGCTGTCGCATGTAGAGATTAAAAAAAACAAACGCGTGTGTTCTCAGGCTGCTGTAATGAGCTAGTGCCTTAATAACCTGCATCTATAGAGGTTTGTCAATATACAGCCAGCATGTTAGTCATTGCTGAAGTGTTAAAAATTACATTGTTAAATATACAATAACAGTGTTTCCTGTGCATTGCTATGTACTGTATATACTAACTGCCAAAAAGTGTTTTTCTTTTGGTAACAAAATGCATTAGATTGCTTTGATTGTAAAAGAATCTAACAGACTAACAGCTCTGTGCTAAAACCAGATAGCAAACCTCTCAGTTTATTTTTCCAAGTTCTGTCTGTCTGGTTTTATTTCTGCTTTATACAACTCAGCTGTTTCTTGGACAACATGCTTCTGTAATGTCCACTGTTTGTGTATATTTCAACAGAGCAGTTTGAGCTTTGCTGGTAATCTAGAAGTACATTTCTCAATAGTCCATGGAAACTCAATTCAGTCGTAGTTCTCTTAAAATGCATCTACTCTGGGAGGTTTTTTTTTTTTTTCCCTGATGCAAGGCCTAGTATCCTGTGCTTTGAGAAAACATCAGAGGTTATAGACAGAGATGCATACTTGACTCGCTGAATTCCTAATTCGTATCACACAGGGTACCGAGTAGAGTTTTTTTTCTTGTTTTAAGTCTTCTGTCTGTGTTTCCTCGCAGATGTTTGAGTTTTACGAGCGGGTGTCTGGAGCCAGGATGCACGCTGCATACATCAGACCTGGCGGTGTTCATCAGGTAGGAGAATTCAATACGTATTTCAATTTTTTGCATCTTATTCTTTGTTAAAGTCAGGCGGGATGATGTGCTCAATAGTCAGTGATCCATTTTTTTATGACAAAATAAATGACATTTGCAGATGACCTCACCAGATATATTGAAAATGAGCAAGATCAATGAAACGTTACCGATCTTAAATGTGTTCCAGGATATGCCCCTCGGTCTGATGGATGACATCTATGAGTGGTGCAAGAACTTCTCCATTCGGATTGATGAAGTAGAAGAGGTGAGTGACTCCATGTTTGTTTGAACGTATGAAGCATGATAATGGTGTGGTGAGGATCCCTTGAGTAAACGCAACGTTCTGTGTTTTCCTCTATGCAGATGCTGACCAGCAATCGTATCTGGAAGAACCGTACTGTTGACATCGGATTGATCACTGCCGAGGAGGCTCTCAACTATGGTTTCAGGTAGAAATGCAGAGAACTAATTGAAATAGTGAAAATGAGTAAAATTGAGATAGTTGCTCAGATGAAAGAGCTGTTGTTTGATTTGGTCTAAACCTTGACATGTGTCTACTCTCTACCAGTGGAGTGATGCTGCGCGGGTCAGGAATCAAGTGGGACCTGAGGAAGTCTCAGCCGTATGACAAGTATGACGAAGTGGAGTTTGACGTTCCCATTGGAAGCAACGGAGACTGCTACGACAGGTAAAGGATCGAAGGTGCTGTGTGCGACCTTCAAAACCACTGGATGTCGCACCAGAAAAAACAGGCCACACCTCCCCCCCTTTCTTTATTTACAGCCAGAGAGACTGTGTACATGAGCGCTAACAACTCGCTAGCATCGAATAGTGAGAAAAACATGTCTGCTACAGTTAATGTTAGCATCACTTGTCATGTCTTTCTCAAGAGGTTTTAGTGACTGAAAATGAAATCTTAACGGTCGGTTGTAAATGTTTAGTTGTATTTATCAAACTTTTTAAATAATTTGCATTATTTATTCTTACAAATATAAGTTGCAGGAGTTCTTGGGTGAAAGAAAAAAGAGATAATAAATATCTCTAGTCATGTTGTGGTTCATGTTTAACATCACTGTCTTACCGCTGATGATTCATTATGAAACATTCCTATGAATATATATTCGTCATTTAATTACAATTATTAGCTACATCAGACCAACATCCTTTACAATTCTACACCATGTATGCCACTTAATTTTAAATATTCTTGACAGTTCTGTGTTCATTAGAAAGGATTTCATGGCTTGACATTCCTGGCCAACCACGTTTAAGTGACATCACGGCTTTCATTAATGATAGTGTGAGCTTAATGCTGCTGATTAAAGATTTTCATTAAGGCAGCTGGCAGTGTCTAATCGCAGCCAGAGAAATGAATCAAACTGAGGTGTTAGCGAGAAACAGAAACAGAGGAGAAGAGGTGACCTCATCTGTTAAAGCACTGACACACAGTTTGGCCTATTTTCATGATCAACTCCGCCGATGACCTTTTTTAGAGTGACTAAAGCCGTGACGGCACCGAAAGCATTTCCGCTGTGATGAAACACAAATGTAAATAACTTCAGCTTGTATTTAAATGGGGCTTTATCTGCTCTATGCGCAAAAACATGACATGAAGTGTATTTTTCTGCGATGCTATTACCGTGTTCTATGCATGACACTAGAGTGATTGTGTAACGGGATGCGAGTGTGTCCAAAACGTGGGTGATCTACAACTCGGCACTGAGTGTTAACGCCTCCTGACTGACCATCAGACGTGTTGCTCACTGTACCATGTCGATGTAGCCTAAGAGCTGATAATATTGTACTGCATCTGATCTGTGAGCACCTGTAGCTTACTGGTTCTCCCTGTGCATGTGTGGTCCAGGTATCTGTGCAGGGTGGAGGAGATGAGGCAGTCCCTGAGGATCATGCACCAGGCGCTCAACAAGATGCCAGAAGGAGAAATCAAGGTGGACGATGCCAAAGTGGCCCCACCCAAGAGGTCTGAGATGAAGGTGAGTGAAGAACCTTTTTGCTTCCAGTCTGATGCCTGCAGTCTGTTTTGTTCCTGGAAACTTTTTTTCTTCCCCCCTCCCCACCCCATTCCTGCAGCTTATCATTACTGTGTGTTAATTAAATTTCCCGAGTGTCACTAATTTGTCTTCACACTGCCTCTTTGCAGAATTAGGCCAGCTTTCCCATAAAATGCAAATTAATTTGGCTGCCCTCAAGGCTCCAGATCACCTCCAGTTCCCCTCAGTGTTACAATTTAACATTTCCCTTAACATATGCACTTTCAGTTCAAAGTTTTTCCATAAACTTCTTGCTGCTGAGATCTAACATTTATCGTGTGTGCTCTTTTTTTTTTTTTTTTTTGCCAGATGTCCATGGAGTCTCTGATCCACCACTTTAAACTGTACACAGAGGGCTACCAGGTCCCCCCAGGGGCCACATACACAGCTGTAGAGGCACCCAAGGTGAGAACACTCGCTCTGTATAATATTTAGACGAATCGCACCCTTCTGGATACA